GTATCAAAGAAGAAATAAAAAAAACTACTGTATGAATTTTTTAATAATACAATCTTGTTTGTCCAAGCAAGAATCTTTTGAAAAAATTTTAATGATAATGCGCACACTTTATAAATATGCTCATTGAACAGATTATGAAGTTAATGTTTTCACACGAGTAAAATAAGTTTCAAGACCAGTTTGTTTCATAATTACCACTGATAAGTGTACTTCAGTGGAACTTACAAGTTCTGTAGACTCAGTATAAATATAAAATTATTACGGATTGTATCAATTTTCACGTGATCCCGTGGAGTATAGTAATATAAATTTTCATTTTCAATATTTAAACAGCTGCGACAATTATTTTCTTACAATACATTAAAATACTTAACTGAAAGTTGAAAAATTCATTACCGAGTTTTATTTTTAAAAAATTTACTGTTTTTAAGTAAAAAAATTAGTAAAAATACAATGTAAGAATAAAATTGAGCAAAGAAAAATTGTCTTTCTCATTGTAGGATCATGGCCGTGGATGACAGTGCTAGGGTACTACAACAAATCGAAAAAAGTCCTAAAATGGCTCTGTGGCGGAAGTCTCATTTCGAGAAAGCACGTACTCACGGCTGCCCACTGCGTGTACGGTCGCACCGACTTGAGAATCGCCCGTCTCGGTGAACACGATCTCCGCACCAACACCGAAGGAGCACATCCGATCGACGTCCATATTAAACGAGGTACCATTCATCCCAATTACAATCCGGTCACAGTCGAAAACGACATAGCCGTGCTGAAACTGAGAGACGAAGTCACGTTTACAGGTGTGCATAGGTTTTTTTTTCTTTTTATTGTGCTGGTGGGTGTAACCATTTATGCAATCGATTCGTCTTGAAATCTTATTTTGCAGAAGCCATTCGCCCAATTTGTTTGCCATTGCTGGAGCCTCTGAGAAATCTTGATATCACTGGAAGAAATCCGTTTATCGCCGGCTGGGGTGCACTTGATTTCCGTGAGTTAAAATTTATAATCTCCACATAAATAATAGTACAGATCACACATGTGATGTCATTCACATGAATCGTTATTTTTATGATTATTTTTATTGCTCTATGTGTATATGTATAACTTAATTGAATATACATGGAAGCTTAACTTGGTCCTTTTTTAAAATTTAATAACAAAGGGATGACTGATGTGATCCAAAAGAGCGATGTTTTGTGTTTAAATTTTCTTGTAATTTTCTCAAACTACATGCCCGAATATGAATAAATTAAGTAAGGAATTTAATCGAATGCCTTAAACGTTTTTAGTTTTTATTATGGTCAGGAATTTTAATAAAACTGTAGGGAATATTTTTTAAAGCCAAAATATGAAGAAAAAAAAGCTACAGTACTAGAATTGAGCGCTATTTTATTCCAGACCTCGACCACATAATATATTTAATATTCTAAGTATGTTTCTTTGTCTTAATTTTGGAATCATAAAATATTATTTATAGTTCCTGGGGTTTCACTTTAGCTTTTATTAGTAAGAGGTGTATAAAATTATATAATTCCGTGTAGTCAACGTTAGAAATTCATTCAATGGTTGGCTATAACTGTGGAAGAACAGTGGGTTCAAATCTACGACTGTGTCCTTTTTTTATGTTAGAATATCGAATTTACAAGAGCCTCATAGATTTATACGTGGATTTATACGTTGAAATTCGCGTTAATTCCATAAAGAATACCTGAAATCCATACAGAATCTATGTGTGAAAATCTAAAAGGATAACGTAAGTTTGGTAATGGTTATTTTAAAGTTTCAAACAAATCTCATTCATATCTGAAATGTTCTCCTAATTAGTTTACACGTACAACGAGATTAAAATTAATCTGACTATAACAGACATAAAAAACTTCTTCTTTTAACAATGAAGCAACACGTTGATCTGTATGTATACAGTAAATTTTTAATAATCAGTTTTATCAACAATTTCAAGATGTGGCCTTTATTCCTCTCACTAGGCCTTTTAAAGCCTTACAAAATTTGATCGTCGTGAAATAATAAATCCATCACAAATTGCTTTCCCACCTGTTCTCTTCATAAATTAAATTTACTAAATTGCAGGTGGAAAACAATCTAGTGGAGTTCTACTTGAGGCACAAATACCCGTGGCAGATGAAGCGTCATGCCGGCAAGCTTACTCAAGAATCCCTCAAGAACTTCACATTGACGAAAGGACGTTATGTGCTGGCCACCCTCTAGGAGGGAAGGACGCCTGTCAGGTGGGATATCGTAAATTTTTACCAATGCTTTTTTTTTTTATATTGTATGCATTAAAAAATTAAATTAACTAAAGAATTCAAATTCCAAGTAATGATGTCATTATTTAAAAAAATTAATTTGTCATTTTTAACGAGAAAATTTTTATTTCAGGGTGACAGTGGTGGACCTCTCATGTATCCGCATCAAAAAACATTCTACGCTTTTGGAATAGTCTCGTATGGCTTCAAATGTGCTGAACCAACCTTCCCAGGAGTCTACACTAAAGTTTCGTACTTCCTTGACTTTATCTTGGCAAATTTGACGTAGAAGAAGAATATTAAAATAGTATATGGCGCAATTAAGGAAAAAAGTCATGAATACCCAGCTCGCACGATCGGAAGGATTTTTTATTCACACAGAAGTCATACACTCATCACTGATTAAAAAAAAAAAAAAAAAAAAAAGTCGTGGGTGGGCTATATTATTATAGCATGTGATCTGAGGCATTATTTACTTTTCCTCTCTTAATACGGAATGTACTATTTTTTACCATTATGTATAGTGACTAAATGTTAAGTGTTGATGTACTTTTAAAATAATTGTTTTACACAACTAATAATAACTAGATGTGAGCAGGTACTCACATTACATAGCCATTACACTCTCGACACCTAAATTTCGAGTACCTTAAAGTTTAAGTCGTTCGATACTATTTGAGTATGTATTTGGGTTCGACTGGAACTCAATATTTCTCGAATTGACATTTTGAGTACTCGCATTCCCTGAACATTTAAAACTATGTAGGGAGGAATGCGGGAGAATGTAGGTTATCGATTTCAAGTTTTTTGTCCTTTTTGCATTTTAGTTTTAAGTTTAAGTGTTAGTGTAAGCCATATTTTGTATATTTTCATACTTTTTAATAGTACTCGGGAGTTGAATAAAAATGCGGACGACCACTCCCAGTCTTTCTCACTCACTTAATACCTCTTTAAAAGCCAAAAGGTCAAGAATATATTAAATAAAACTGAAAATGTTTTCACTTATTGCATAATATGCCAGATGAATTTTAAGAGTAATTATTATTCCACATTTAGGATATACTGAACATGTTATATTATATTGTGTTGAATTTATGATTACTGAAAAATAAATAGTATCAAAGAAGAAATAAAAAAAACTACTGTATGAATTTTTTAATAATACAATCTTGTTTGTCCAAGCAAGAATCTTTTGAAAAAATTTTAATGATAATGCGCACACTTTATAAATATGCTCATTGAACAGATTATGAAGTTAATGTTTTCACACGAGTAAAATAAGTTTCAAGACCAGTTTGTTTCATAATTACCACTGATAATCATATCGTACAATTACAACGTCATATATAGGGAACTTGTAACAGTTTTTAAATCATCGTAGGAAAAAAAGTTGATTTATTATTATAAAATGAAAAAAAAAAAAATATTTTTGAAAAAGTAATCAGTAAATTGTTGAGAAATCAAACATCTATCTAACACGTGATTAATTTAACGTTGGTACATATTTTTTGTCGAATAAAATACACAAATACAAAACATACAACACTCATGAGTAATTTACCAATCGAAAATCCATTTACCACTTTCGTCAATGCACATTGGTATCGGGTAACAAGGAGCAACAAAACATTGAACCTGATGTAAAACACATTTGCTAGAAGGTGGACATGGAGGATTAATATCTGCACATGTACGGCGAGTCATTTGTGGCGATCGCTTTGTTATGACGAGGTTGTTATCCCTGCACTGATCTGTATCTGTTAAAAGAAAAAAAAAATACATATTTTTTCCACCTTGGGCTTGTTTTTATGTTGGACGTTTGTTGCGCCCTAGGCTGGAAAAATAATATTAACCAAGGGCCCAGCCATCGCCCTGGAGAAGATATAAACCCGTGATGAAATTTACTTGGCATCTTAATTAAAAATATTTACCTGGAACACAGACACCTTCCAAGCAGCATTTACTACAACATTGGACATTGGTATAGCACTGCTAACATTTTTAATGCACAATTTTAATTATTATGAAAAAATCGGTAGATTATTTTAATAATATTTGGTTATCGAATTTTTTTTAATCTATAACAGTAATGTTGAACCGTAAGAACTCAAAAACATTAGTATTTAAAATCACCTCATAATTATCAGTAGTACAATTTTTAATACTAGCTGCTTGAGTTGATACTAAAATAAGTAAGAAATATGTACAAATTACTCCTGACAATTGATACATTTTATTGTTGGCAACTTGGAGTATGTCTAAAAATTTGGTAATATTCTGCAAGCACGACGTGGACACTGGTACTGGATTACGGTGAGTTTTATTTTTCTTTATATTGAAAGCAAAAGCAACTATCTATAGCTCATTATCTACACTGTTTTTTATACAATGAAAATGCAGTTTCCCTCGTAAAAGAGGAAGCCCCTGATTATCAACACAGAAGCTTCGATTCAGCAGATACAACAAAGTGTTACGAAATGTAAAATGTCAACAAACAAAAATAATACGAATTTTTAATTATTAAACTATAAGAAATCTTTAAATAACTTGCATATCTTCCAATTGATATTTTTTACTGTTAGACTTGAAAAAACATTCCATGTAATATTAAAATGTAATGAAAAATGAGTATTTTAATGATGAATGTTAATAGTACTGTTTATAACTGGTTTCAATTTATTTGTTGATTTTATTTGTTATTGACAGATGCTTGCCAGGTAATTTAAAGTACAATACTATTTAATTAAAAATACATTAATTCTTAAAAATTTTTTAAAGTATAGAATTGATTAATTTCGTAGGGTGACAGTGGTGGACCGCTGATGATTCCTGATCGACATTTAAATTGGTATCTAATTGGAATTGTATCCAGTGGTTTTCACTGTGCTACACCAGATGATCCAGGGATATAATATATACACGTGTTGCAAAATTTCTGACATTTATTTTACCCAATTTGGTGTAACTTTCTAATTTCTGAGGATATATGGGGTCTGAGGCAGGTATAATAATAAGAATACTAGTACAGGATGTGTAAGGTAGCGCAACCAATATTGACTGCATGTGCTTCAGAAAACAGCAAGTTTTTAATTTTCATTAAAAAAAATAATGAATTTCAACTTTACAACTGTTGATGTATACTCGATTGCCATCTCTGCAATCACCACGTATCAGGTTTCAATCAAACTTTCGAAGTAGCAATATCAGTGTCAATGTACTTTTTCAACCGATATTTTCGACCATATTTTAAATATCATTTTTTACAGAATTAAGGAAAACACGTTATATTTAAAAATTTGTTTAAGTAAAAATTTATTATTTTTAATTTCATTGATAAATCATGCTTCTAAACTTTAGTGTTTCTAAGAAAAAAAGTACTTAAATTTATAGTAAAAAAATTAAATTTGTTTCTTACTTTGAGCGTTTTTTTACGTTTGGATGTTGACCAAAGCAAGGACAAAGAGTCCCTCAGGGCTTGATTCACAGTTTTTTCGGACCCGGTACTTGCCCTGGCGACATCCATTATTTTTTTTGTACACGGTCACTTATTTGCAATGATATAATGATATTTCTGATATTAAGGTGTATTTTAGATGAAATTTGCATTAAAAATAATGATAGCTAACTTAATAGTTTAATTAATAAAGTAATATGAAATAAATGTATTGTAATGAATAGCTGCTGCTCTAAGGCAAATTTAGAAGTGTACATAATAAAGTTTGACAACATATTATATACACGTGTTATATTATGTGTGCCTGAAAAAAACAAATTTTCTTACACTTTACCTTATTTTACTGATAAAATTAATTTTTTCTCCTGCTCTTCGTATTAATTTTTCTTATTTACAGAGTAGCATAAGAATGTGTACTTGAACCAATGAATATTATCAACTCACAAGTATATTCAAGACATACGTTTCACACGTCTTAACGAGTTTTTAACTAACCTATAACTGGATACGACTACCATTATACTTTTCAGTTTGGCTTATTATGCAAACGTCGGCACGTTTCAAATGACCATTAACAAATACTCCTGACAAACACAGTACTGTAGTGTATAAGTTGAAAAGATAGTTATTTTTATTGTTAAAATATATACTTTCAAGTTTGTTTATTTGTTAGAATTTAATAGTTTAAAAATATTGCATATATAGTGAATTGATTATAAGTGTTTTATTAGTGATATTCTACATGCCACACAAGTTGTTGTGCAGACACGTGTAATAATCTTTAACTATATTGGTTCAAAGAAGAAGGTAAGTTTTACTCGAATAATTTTATAGAGATTTTTTAACCTTACAATTTCGTCTACATAGCTGTATAACTTAATTTTATACAACGATTTGTTTTAAACGAAAACAAAGAATAATATTAAATGAGATAGGAGAGATTCACCATAGGAGACATGACCAACAATTTTTTCAAGATTTCGTTACATACTTATGCTAAAATTATGAAAGCTCAATAGAATAATATAATGAATAAAGAAAAAAAAGGAAAAAAAAACTTCTTCAACTTATACTAAAAACTTATAGCTGCGTAATGTATTGTTTTCTTAAATAAAAATAATTTGTTATCACAATACACACAACGAATAAGCCATGGATATTTAAGTACAAATACATGTTGACGTTGCTAATGATATTTCTCTTTCGCAATCTCTACTGATATATTTATCAGTGGAGTACCCCGTTATTATAATAGCACTGATACACGTGGCACACGTGGTAGTCCACGTTATAGTCTACCATAAGCTGGGTAAATTAGTCAGCGATGCGACTGAAAAAATTAAAGCAGATATACATTTTTTGCCATCTTACGTAAAGTGTGATTTTCAATAAAAAAGTATACTTTGCCAAGCTCAAACTTAGTCAAACCTGTAATACTCCATGTAAGACTGTAATAAGGTTATTTCTGTCCCAAAATCGAAGCAGAATGCAGAAAATGTAGAGGGAGGTGTATCGAAAAATTGTAAGTTTGCGGTGCAAAATAAAAGTTAATGCACCGCAACAGTACTTAGTTGTTGGTATGCAAATCTACTAATTAATATGATTTTGTAATAAACATTCCGTTTACATAACATTGATATAGACATGTATATAAAAATAACAAATATTTCGTTAAAACGTGTATGACATCAGCTCTCTATGAAATTTGAAGTCGTTTAGAGAAATTCTTTAAAGGTAATAAGGCAGTAAAAAAACTTTAAAGGCAGCGTAATTTAAGTATTTCTGATACTTTCTTTTTTTCTTGTATGTTTGTATAAAATAGTGGAAGCTACATGGCACTATTTGGAACTTTTGACCTTCAAAATTACCTACAGAGTTTATCTTCACTTTGAGACCGAGAAGAGAATAATTATTTAATCCTATATTTTGGCGAATCTTCACATGTTAAAAATGTTGTATAGTTGCTCAAAATAAGGCTTCGTAAATATTGTAAAATGTACATGTTTTTACTATTTCATAAAATAACACATAAGTATGTTCAAATATTAATGAATTAAAAATTTTTTAGTCTATAACGGTAACAGTATAGTACAAAAAATAAATGTCTTTAATCATTGGTTTTTTTTTTTTTAATTTTTTGAACTTAAAATTTTTACGAACGAAATTTTAAATATTTAATGATTTTAAATTTTCAGCCACCAGAACACAAATTAAAGGACACCGAACTTTTTCTGTTTCTGGCAAGACATCTATCCACATACATAAAGGAATACATGTTAACGAGTCAACGTCATCAAATAAAGTCTTTGTAAAGACATGCAGACGAATAAACGCAACGACGGATCCCATTTTTTGTGCGAATTTTGCGGAATATTCATCAAGTCTTGTAATTTTGACAGGCACATTCGTACTAGACATGCCAACAACAAACCCCACAAATGTACACTCTGTGATGAATCTTTTGGTGAAAAAAATCTTCTAATAAATCACATCAATAGCGTACACTTTGACGAAAACCCACACGAATGTAAAATTTGCGGCACAGAATTTTATCGACAAGACCAACTCATGGAACACGTCCGTAGCGTACACATTGGCGATCGACCCCACAAATGTACCGAGTGTGAAAAATCTTTTTCTCGAAAGTATGATCTGGTCCAGCACATGCGTCGTGTACACTGGGGCGAGCGACCCCACAATTGTACTGATTGTAAAAAATCTTTTTTTCGAAAACATCGTCTTATCGAGCACTTGAATATCGTACACTCTACAGACAAGCGACTCCACGATTACAACTGCACCCAATGTAAACATACTTTTTCTCGAAAGTATGATCTTGTCCAACACGTTCGTAGCATACACTGTGGCGAGCGACCCCACAAATGCAAGCAATGTCAAAAAAGTTTTCCTAGACATCATCATCTTACCAGACACGTTCGTGGCGCACACTCCGGCGAGAGACCCTACACGTGTTCTCATTGTCAAAAATCTTTTTTTAGAAAATATCATCTTATCAAACACCTTCGTATTCATAGCACTGAGAAGCCATACGAATGTGATATTTGCGACAAATCCTTTAGATTAAAATCTAATTTAAAAGCACATTCTCGTAAACATACTGACTTGCGTCTGGTTCAGTGCGATTATTGTAGTGGTTGTTTTACTTACAAAGATGATTTGGAAAAGCACATTCACTTGCATACTGATGAGGAACCTTTTTCCTGAAAATTTGTACAAGATTGTTTGGTAATGTACCAGTAAATTTATGAATAAAAAATCTAATTTTTTATTTAATTGGACAATTTCTAATGTAATTAAAATAACTAGTGTCAATTTATTGGCTGAAAGCTTCCGCATTTTTTTTCCTTTCTAACTAAGTCCCTCAGGGCTTGATTCACAGTTTTTTCGGACCCGGTACTTGCCCTGGCGACATCCATTATTTTTTTTGTACACGGTCACTTATTTGCAATGATATAATGATATTTCTGATATTAAGGTGTATTTTAGATGAAATTTGCATTAAAAATAATGATAGCTAACTTAATAGTTTAATTAATAAAGTAATATGAAATAAATGTATTGTAATGAATAGCTGCTGCTCTAAGGCAAATTTAGAAGTGTACATAATAAAGTTTGACAACATATTATATACACGTGTTATATTATGTGTGCCTGAAAAAAACAAATTTTCTTACACTTTACCTTATTTTACTGATAAAATTAATTTTTTCTCCTGCTCTTCGTATTAATTTTTCTTATTTACAGAGTAGCATAAGAA